ATGTAGTGAGAACTGACAAATCAAGTATGAAGAGAGGTAGGGTTGATTTTTTCCCTCCTCATAAATTACATAGGGAACGAACAACTCCTGCTGTGAAGACAAGAATATCAAGATCTTGTCTGCTTTAAGATCTGCTTTTAATAATAATAATAATATCCTACCCTTCTGCTGTGTCTTACATTATAAGCATTAATTAGGTCTTCACTCAGTACAGCCACTGTCTCATGGTTGTTTTCTTCCTCTTATAGCATCACTGAGAGTCCATAATAATTCTCGGGTTTAAATATTTATTTATTGCTTTGAAGGTAGGTTTCTCCATTTGGCAATGCTTTGAAATTATAATCAGCAGAAAGAAAGGTTCAGGGCTCTATTTTTGCAACTAAGAAACAGAGCAGAATCATAGTACTTTTTCCTTGTTAGAGTGAAAATAGCCCTTGGGGGACAATTCTATTGGCTCGAAGTACTGTTTTCCCATTTACTTCCATCCATTTCAAACATGCTGTCTCCATGCTTCAAAACCACATACATTTTGTGTTTTCCTCATCCTGTGACTCTGCAAGTGCTTAGAAGAGTGCTCGGCCTTGACGTTGATATGTAGAAAAATATTTGCTCCATGAAATTAAATTCATGTTCAAACCCTGTGTTTTGCAGGCCTTAGAGGGCCCCTGTGTTTTGCAGGCCTTAGAGGGCCCTGTTTACCACGTTTGCAGTACAGTTTGGAAACTGATTTGTTTGCTGACATGGCCTTGCTTTTCTGTGGTCATCAGTGGGAAAGAGATAGAAAAGTTAACTGTCACATTCTTCCAAACATCTAAAGCGAATGCACAAACATTCTTTTAATGATCAACATGCAGTGGATATTTAATGAGTGTCACACGCTGTGGAGTTGTGGGGACAATAAAGACAAATCGTATTGCATGGATAGAACAACTGTTTATTTGACGTTGTGAACTGGCTCCAGTGAAATGTGCTATATTTTATAGATCATATTTTAAACTTCAATAAATTAAAATTTTGGCTATTTCTTAGAGTCTAAATATAACCTACTAGTTATACAACAAGACTGCCCTAATGTCTCAGTTCATTTATTTACCCATTTCTTTTTCCACTTCCAGTGAATTCTAGCACTGATTGCTGAAAGAATAGAAGTAGAAAACAAAAAGGAGGAGAAATGATCTTTTCCTTTAATAACAACCACGTCTAACTACTGGCAACATGAGAATAAGTAAAAATAAAAGTCCTGTGAATCTCAGATACTTTGTGTTTCTTAAACTTGTTGTCTGACTGATTTTGTGCTGGGTGGTTTGCATGCTGTAAATTCAAGACTGAGCCGATAACGTACTGAGATGATGCCATGACATACCCTGTGGTTCTCAGCTTGAATCCCTAGAAATTATGATGTGACTCTTCAGACATGAGTGTGATTCTGCACATAAGAAAAGGCTACACAGGCAAATGGTAGTGGCTCATGTCTATAATCCTTCTACTAATGAAAATGGACACAGGGAAGATAGTGAGTGCTTGGGGGCCAGTCAGAGCAAAACCTCATCTCAAACAACATTTGAAAGCACTTGTCATCACAGCTGCATGGGAGATTGGAAGGTTCACTGTTCCATTCCAGTCAGACAAAAAAGTTCATGAGATTCTAACACAACAGAAAAACCTGTTGCATACGCCTGTCATCCTAAGTAAGGCATGAAGAAAAAAATGGGAGGGTCACAGTCCAGGCCATTGATTTAGGCAGAGTGAGACCTTACCCTGAAGACGACTAGAGAAAAAACAACAGCAGCAGCAACAAAACAAAAACAAAAACAACTTAAGCAGAAGAGCGATTCCCTACCAACCCAGACCCAAAGAAACAAAGGTTGCATGGTTTCCCTCCTTTGTGGTAGTTCAAATGTGCCTATACATCTGTAAGTAAACACATAGGCTAGTATACAAGTGGCTACAAACGAATTAACTCAAGTATAATAGCTCAAATAGTATAATCTTTTAGAAACACTAAGACAAAGCCCAACAAAATCAACACCAGGAAATGGGTACATCCAACGGGGCAAGTCTGGCCAAGGGGAGAGGGGTAGACGAATGGAGGAGGAGAGGAGGAGAAGAATGTAGTCAAGAATTCATGGACTATATCACAAATTAAGAAAAGCAAGGGAAGGATTGAAGGGATGAGAATTCTGAATGGGTGACACTGATCAAAATGCATAGTATTCATAAACTACTTTGTTCCATGACACCTCTAGTACAACTACTTAAAGATAATTTTAAAAATAAATAAACAAATTTTTAAAAATATTTAAATTACTTGTGACTCCAGGATTTAATGCTTATATTTTATTGCCAACTTATCTATGTGTGTACCTATAATTAGAGTAATATAACTTAAAATACTGCATTGTTATTTTTATATTAATTAATATTGTATACAACTTCTTTTGTCAATAATCCTGGAACCATAAATTAGAACATGAAGAAAGCAATGAAATGAATACTGGTCTCTGCTAGGAAACAAAATGCACTGTGAAAGAATCTACTGAGTTCACATTATCTCAGAGGATCAGATGTATTAATCAACTCATGTTTTTCTCTTTCCTAGATATTTTGTCTCCCATTATTTTTGAAATAGCGTGCATGTCCAGGCGAAAGAATTTTCTAACTCATCACAGTGAGTCAAAGAAAACAGAGTCAAGTTCAAGTTCTACTAGGTATTCATGTGCTTAATAAGCCATTAGTTTGGATCCTTAGAAATTTAGGATGAGGATCTTCGGATTGTATGACTCATCCTCTGGCCTGAAGGTAATACTGGGCAGTTCAAGGATGCAAACAATAGGCCAAGGAGTCCAGACTGTACTTCTGTACAGCCCATGACAGAAGTGCTTATTCTTAGCCAAGGCCCTCTGAATGTCAGCAAGGTAATTATTTCACACTGGGCAGGAGGCAGTCATTGAAGTAGTCTCCTATTCCCTTTCTTTCAGTAGGAGCTTCTAATGAAAAGTTGTCTAGATAATGTCACTCTTACTCATATTTGGACATAATCTCAAAAATGTGGGTTAGTATTTGTGACCAGAGTCTGCTCCTAAAAGAGCATATGGCAGTCTTTTTGTGGTATCATCTAGAGTGGTGATTTGTAAACCTAATTTCCACTCAGGTTTCTGACATGAAGAATCATGAACGTCCTGATGGGTGTGTCTGTATTTAAATACCTAGCTAATTGTCAACTATCTGCTCTTAGACAGATAAACTAAGCTACACAGTGTGAAGCAAGACTTCAAAATACCCTGAAAGTTCTTCTTCCTCCTGTGTTTTCTTGGTTTTTAGTTGTGAAAGAACAACAATTTTTATGAATTGATTCATATTTTACATGCTCAGGGGAAAAAAAGAAACAGGTAGAATGGAAGCCAGACAGGTCTGAATTTAGAGGCTACCTCTGCCACCCTAGTTAAGAGACTTGAACAAATTATATAACTTTAATGTATCTCAATCTCACTTGTAAATGAATTTCTTGTTGATATTACATTATGAGAACTAAATGGTATAACCACTGTAGAATTTTGTCACGCAGAAGAGTCTCAAAAAAAAACCAACAAACAAAACTCTATCAGCCACTACTACTAGCTAGTAAGGGATTATGAAAACTGGCTTCAGTAAGTTATTTATCTAATAAGAAGTACATGATTCATCCTTCCAAATAACAGGCAACTGGGTTAAGTGCTCAGGATTCAAAGCTTCTGTTGTAGAACAGAAGATACGATGCTGCAGACATGCATAATAGAGATAGGAAATGGTGTGCAAACACAAATAGTGTATCAGCTAACTTTGCTTGGTGAGTTAGGAAAGCCTTTGTAAAGCAGGATGAGTGGGAGTCTGCCCAAGAGGAATGAGAGGGGCATCTAAGGCAGAAGAGGGCAAAGGCATGGAGTTATGCAAGAGCTTTTCACCATCTTAGACCCATAACCCCCAGCTTATACTGTGGAAACTAGATGTGAGGTGTCGGTTAAAGTTTCAGCAGTATGGCTGGTCTTGAACTCAAAAGTCCAGTTGTTTGAGAGTTGTCACATTTGAAGACTTGGCTTAAGAAAGGATGGGCTCAAAATTCTATACGACAGTAATGTTTGTTAGTTAGTATATACCACTTGTCTTAAAATGTACCAGAATTGGGCGCAGGAGGGAAATGGTTATTTTTGACCAAAGACTCGCGATTTCTAGCTCTTCGGGCCCCTATAATTTCTGTGATGGGTTGCCCTTTTCAAAAGGAACATCCTGGAAGTGTTCTAAAAATTGCTGTAACTAAAATGCAGGCTTCTTAGTTAATAACAAAACTGTGCCCGATTCCAGAAACTGGAAAGGATGATGGTACAAAATTGCTCTGCAGAAAAATCTAACCCCACATCTTGTAAAGTGATGTTCAAACCATCCAAAGTGTTTGACTTAAACTCATAAAGGGAACACCACTGTAAAAGTATCAAAAAATGAGACTGAGAAGGAAAAAGCCTCAGGCAAATACCCCAGCAAGGGGAAAACCTGACAAATCCATTACTAGAGACATTTCCAAATGCCTGCAATAAATCTCTCAGGGAATTAATAGCGTTTGCTGCCCATCTGGGGAAAACTGTCCGAGTATAATATCTACTTCCAAGACAGTCTCTTTGATGGGAGGCGGGGCTGGAGCAGTGCTGATGGTTGTACAGGTGGACATCCGTGCTTATGCTCTGGAGAAAAATGGCACCAAATTCAAATTCATCTCAGAGTGCTCTCCTTGTATGATCTAACACCACAGACATTTCTTAAAACTGTGGAATCATCTACTATCCAGTTAGGATCACGACTTAATGTCATAGGGAGAAATTTTTAGTCAGTACTATTCTCTAGTTGTAATCGCTCATTATAATCTAAGATTTGACAGCTATTTGGGTAGATGCTATGGGAAATCTAAAGTAGAAAATCTGTGCTTTTATAGATTTTTGTTTAATAACAGCCAGTTTTTTAAATCCACTTACCATTCCATGATTCAGCCACCCTGGGATAAAATTATCAAGCAACTTCGGGTATATCATTTCTCTGTCATAGGCATAGATGATCCAGAACACAGCGACAACGAACTGGAAGGGAAAAGAAAAATTTTATTTCAAATTCATCACCTATCTACAACATTCATTTGGTTGGCTATCTGTTATTAAAAGATTTCAAACACAATGTGGAATTTATGCTAAGACACAGCATTGACCCCGGGAATGACTGGAAAGAAGGTTTAAGCTTCACTCAGTGGGTGGTGATGGTTAGGGTGCCTCTTCTCTCTTTGGTTGCCAACTTTGTCCTCAGACAGAGGAATCTCTGAGGGAGAGCCAAGAGGCCTGCTGTCAGGAAGAGCACCATTTCAGAGTTAATCCTGCCAGTCTGGGTCCTCTCCAGAGGGTTTAAAAGTTCACTGGTGGTTTGTTTGTATCCCAGTCTCCACTGTAAAGAGTTAGCACACATTCAAGACACTGTCGGGTATGTCCCTTTGCCTTGAACCCACCATATGGTTTAAATTAATCTTCACCCTCTCTAGTTTCCATTTCACCACTAACAACATTGGAACCACTGCTTATAAAATGCCCCAAGTCACATTTCCTGCAAATGTATTAATTTATACAGCCTCAGCAAGGACTCTAGTTGCTTTGAGAAGCAGGTTATATGGAAGGTCAAGAAAGAATCCTAAGTCCCTTGGAATAACTTAGAAGCTCATCTGGGTTTCAAAAGTTTGTTTTGGCTTATTAGTAATATAATCATTGAAGGAGAATACAGGACTCAAATTAGGTTTTTTTGATTAATTCTTCAAACTAACGATGAGAAAAGAAATTCAGATAAAATAGAGAAATGACTACTCCATAGTCTTAACCTTCAGTATATAATATAAAAGAAAAAAGTGTACATTTTGTACATTTTGTAAATGTCATTAACTACAGCAGGGCAAAGGAACAATCCAGGAGAGTAAGGCTCTGCAGAATGATGTCTCAAAATAGAAAATTCTACAGAACAGAAAGAAGATGCAACAGGAATATTAAACAGAAACAGTTTTTATTTTACTTTTTAATAACTTGAGTGATGTATGCATCCAGATTTTATTCATATAAAGAATACATATTTTAACGTTTCCTTTTATAAGAGACGTGGTTACATGGGGCAACTCAAGATTAGTAATGAAATGGCTCCTAACTTGTTCTTAGGTAGCCGTGGGGGGTGAGGAAATAATAGCTTTAAAATTTACTGTTTTATATAACACAATGGGTGATCACCACAATAGCCAACCAGCAGTTACATACCTTGTTCTGATATCAGATTCGATTCTCAGTTATTTATCTTGCTTGTGGACCAACTATTTTCACTGTCAGCTTATAAAAATAATGGTGTATAACCATAGATTTTCACAAACAAAAATAACTTTTTAAGTATTTACAATTTTAAATTGTTTATTTAGACTGGACTCAGTTTCTTAACCACAATTCATAAGGCACAGAGTTGATAGCTACTTTGAATCTTTGTTAAAGTGTCTCTCAACATTCTCTCCTTAAGTCAGGCTGGAACACAAACCACTGCATTTTACCTACTCTCAAGGGTTTTATTTCTTCTATTTTAATAACATTTGTATAGAAGTTTCACATATCACAAATGGAATCCCATTATAACTTCATCAGTTTTAATCCCACTAATTTGGATGATAAGGTCAAGAGAATCTACAATGCACTTAATTTATAAACTTCAAGTTAGACACATAACAAACCTAATAGAAAAAGCATGTTTGTTTGTTTTTTCCTTGAATGCCTTTCAAATTGTCAGTCCAGATAATTGCGTGGATTAAAGTCCAGATTGCATTTATAGGATGGTAGAGGACAGACAGAAAAGGCTGAATAAAGTCCCATTTATAACAGCGAGAAAGAGGCCTGTGCCGAACCATTAAAAAAATAGGAGATTTGGTCTGTAATTGAGTGTCTAGAAGTCAGAATGAGTGGAGAAAATGATGGAATGGAAGACAGAGCATGTCCAAAAAGCAAATCCCAGGAGAAGAAAGAAATCAAGATTATGGACACACTTCCTTCTCCACATGTTCTTTTGCTAAGAGCTTGAAAGAGGGCCAAGTAGTTCAGAGTGGATGGGATTTGGGGCGCTGTGGTTGGCTACATACTATGAAGGCAATAAGAATATTTGATTGTCAGACCATGATGAATCAGGATGGTTCATGTGACATGTTAATGACATGATTTTATGGTAGAAACAATCAGGATATTTTCCAGGATTGTGAAGTCTATGCGGAAAAAACACAAAGATTTAGAAAGCTGATGCTGGGGGTTTCCTAATGCTAGAGATTGGGTGAGTGAGAAGATAGGAAATAAGAGGGTCATGAGATCACAAAGCGACAGATCATCCTGCGCCAGCTATTATCTGACAAAGGGTGCTGTCCAGTAAATTACAGGAGATAACTTGTGGAAACTTACTCACACGAACAGAAAACATTTAACTAAAGACAGTCCTGCCTGTTTTCACTTTCTTCTTGACAACATCCATCCACTTAGGAGTCACTCCACAAGGATACCAAGGATTCACTGGGAGGCTTCACAGAAGCACTGCCTGTGGACTGAGACCCAGACCTTATAGCCTGCTACGCATACAGTCCCTGAATCTGCAGCACTGGCATCACCTAACTTGTTAGTTGCAGGCAGTTCTGGGCTCTGAACTCAGGGCTTTACCCTTGCTAGGAGTTAGGATCATAGGTACAGATCATCTTACCTGGCTACTTCTATTCCTAATTTACTTGAGAGGCATATTTGTACACACATACACACTCACATGCATGAACACTTGCATACACACACACACACACACACACACACACACACACACACACACACAAAACTGCTAATATTTCCAGATGATTTTGTTTCCTGAGATAATCTGTGAGCTTTTCCCCTGATTGTGTCAATTCATAATATACTGATTGGTGTGTGTGTGTGTATGTGTGTGTGTGTGTGTGTGTGTGTGTGTGTGTGTGTGTGTGTGTGTGTGTGTGTGTGTGTGTCCTGAGGCTTGAATTCAGGGCCTAGGTGCTGTCCCTGAGCTTTTTTGCAAACGGCTAGAGCCCTACCACTTGATCCATAGCTCAATTTCCAGCTTTCTTCTGGTGTATAAATGGAAATAAGAGTCTTATGGACTTTCTTGTCTGGGCTGGCTTCAAACTGTGATCCTCGGATCTCAGCCTCTTGAATAGCCAGGATTATGGACAAGTGTGAACCACCACAGCCAGGCTTAATATAGCAATTGATTTTAAGTATCAAACCAACATTTGATTCCTGCTTCAGCAGTTTGTTTTTTCCTTCCTTCCTTCCTTCCTTCCTCTCTCCCTCTCTTCCTTCTTTCCCTCCATCTTTCTTTTCTTTCTCTCTTCTTTCTTTCATGCTAGGGATTGAACCACAATCTTAAGCATGCTAAAGAGGCACCCTACCACTGAGCCTTATGCTCATGAGAGAGTTTGAATTTATATACGGTTGTTCTTAAACTTTTCCTATGCAAATTGGCAAATCAAATACCTTCCCCACGGGCGAGCCAGTTCTTCTGCCACAGCACAGCTGGTGGCCACTTTCTGCTCATCATGAGGGATCATTTGGGACATCGCTAGGACAACCTACTACTGCAACTTCAGTCAATACTTTGATTCCTTCCATATACCGAGGGGACTCTACAGAGTGTTCGAATCAAAGTGACTTTTAAGAAAGTGAGTCATCTTTCCAGGTGTAACCCCAGAAGGCCAGAAGGCCCGGCTAACTGAGCAATTCAGTCTTCTGAGTAAGTCCCTAGGTGTAAACATGGCACAGATGGTAGCTTCTTGGCTTTGGGCCCTGATAGGCTCATGATAGCATGGTCATCAGCAAACCCAAAATAAATTTGAACTCTACAACCAGGGCATGGATTTGAAACGAAAATAGTTTCTCATGGACATACCAAGTGATTCAGGAATGTTCCACTGTCATAAACAAGCTCCTTCTCTGACCAGGGCTCCTTCTTTGACCAGCTAATCATCAAACACCTGTTGCTTCTTGGCTGCCAGTACCAGAATACTGTACTTGCACCATTATGGAAAGAGCTCAGTCATCTTCCAGGTCTTCCGGTTTTCAAGATAAAATATCTGAGGTACAGGTAGCATTAGTGCCTCATTTGAACCCCTAGAATTACTGAAACTCAAGAGAACTGGATGCATTGCTTCTTTAAAAAAAAAAAGTCTCTCAGGAAGAGGCAGGTAGTTTCATCTTCTGTTTACTTTCAAGAATCTTTACTGATTAGTGAGATTTTTTTCAAGTAGATAAAGCCAATTAGAATGCCATGGATGTTGTAGAGAAACTGCCCATGAAAGAGACTAAGGAGCCATATATGTGAACAATATATCATGATCACAGACACCCACTGTTGAGGGAAGGAAGAAGGCAAGGTAGCAAGCATACATTTCTTTATGATCTTCAGCTTCAGCATGATAATGATCCTGTGAAATTGTTTTCCCTTTTAATAAGCTCCTATTCCTACTATCAAATAATAATAAAGGAAAATTCAAATTCTGTTTTCAAACTTTATTACATTGCTTTCCAAGTTCTCTTGGCTTGCTTTCCAAGTTCATATTGTTTCTCAAAGGCAATCTTCGGAATATTTGGCTATGGCATATTCCCTTTTTCAACATGGGACGTAAGAGTAAGGGGTACATTCTGGTTGTTGACCTGGCTTTGTCTTTCATGGCCTGTCACACAGTGAAGGTCTTATTTTCACATGGCTTCTATTCTCCCACCTTTCCACCTGGGAGAACCCGAGTCCTTGTATTTCCTGAACCACCCCTCAAAATCAGAAAGGCAGAGTGAATCATCGTAACCCAGACAATGTTACCACATTTACTTTTACTTTTGGTGATACTCAGGTTGGAACTCAGGGCCTTGCACCTGCTGCTCAAGTGTTCTCCAGCTCTTTTTGGCCTTCATTATTTTTGAGACAGGAGCTCCCTTCCTGCCCAGACATATCCCTGCCCCACAATTCTTCTATTTCATGGTGCATGTTCTGTTCCTTTGGATCTAGCGTAAGTAGCACC